GGCCTCACCGTGCCCGGCCCTCCTTCCCCGGCCCGGCTCGGAGAGCCGGCGGTGCCCCAGAGGGCTCTGGAAGCGCATTTAACCTGCGCAGGTGCTAAGGACGGAGCCTGGGACGAGGCTGCAAGTGTGAGCCGAAGCTGCCAAGTGCTCTGTAGGGGCAGCGCATCGGGGAGCCTGTCTCCCTTCGGTGTGGCGAGTGAAAGACTGAGATCGGTGGGCAGTTGTACAAGCATGTAGGTTATGTTTGTTAATCTCCCTTTTCAGGCAGGATAGGAGCAGGGATTTGCCTACATACATCTACTGTTTAGTACAAGCATGGTAAGTGGTGCTTCTGGGAAGTTGTTTATCTAGTGGGTGTGGTGGATCAACCATACTACACGTGAATGGTGAATCCCTTAAAGGAAATACTGTGCCTGTGTCCCATATAGAAAAGGGGTGACAGCTTTTCCTTGTGCGAGCAGAGACGTTCTGCTCTGATGGTCTGTTCTGATTCTGGCATCTAAGTGTTAATCTATACATCATCTAAACTAGGGATTTGCTTCCCTTCTTTTTTAGAAGGTAACATAATTTAAGCACTTGGGTGTTACTGGACCAGAAGGAGAGAGCAGGATTCTTTTCTGCATTTTTATCCTGAAATAGTCCCAAGACAGAGACATTATCACTATGTTTTTATCTGTAAAATAGATTGTATACTTTCAATTGATCTACGAATGCTTCTTACAATAACTTGGATGAAACCTACTTTGTTCTGCAGATCAAGCTTACTGAAAAGAACATTAATAGTTTATTATTTTTCACTGGAATGCAAAATAATTATAGCTGTACCTATATTCAATCTATAAAGCTGTCTCTTCTGTTGTGTATGTGATTATTTTTCAAGGCAGCTGAGAATGGAGCAACGGGCGTTGAGCTGGATCTTGAATTTACTGCAGATGGTGTTCCCATTTTAATGCATGATGAAACAGTTGAAAGAACAACTGATGGGTCTGGAAGATTGTGTGACTTGACTTTTGATGAAATTAGGAGGCTTAATCCATCCGTAAAACATAGGCTATGGTAAATGAACTATTGCTATTCTGTTTCAACAGTAAACAAAAAACATTCTTAATAAACAAAGTTATTGTTTTGATCTCTCACAAATTAAAATTCTTGTAAATTTAAAACCATATGTTATTTCTTACTTGATTTTAGGAGTGTAGGAGATTGTATCTCCTTACCCATCCTTGCAACATAAACAGTGAGACAGAGTCAAGATAATTGGCTTTCAAGGACAAAATCAAAGGCCTCTAGTGTGAAACAGGTTAATCTCTACATCAGCTTCACTTAAATTGACTGCAGGGCACTAAAGATACTGAGAGTTTCACAATATGTCAAAATTGACTTGAGTAATTACTTCTAAAAGTATTTTTATTAACATACATTTCTTGATTGATTGTGTCTTGGGGATATTAAACATCAGGTTTACACTGTTGAAGAGGAGCTAGACAGATCCTGGGTAGTCTCAGGTAGGAGCTGTGGCTGATTAGGCCCTTTGCAGTGGTATGCAGGGGTAACTTTTTACATGTTACTAAAACTTTGATTACAGTGCGACTTCTACAATGTCATGAATGAATCCATTTTAGAGGAAGAACTTTTAGTGTGTGATACACTGCATTAGGGATTTCTAGACCCTTGTAAATAGACCACCTGTGAGTCTGTGGTACAAGTAGCATCTTCCCTGTCTGTTACTGGAAAGGTGATCGTCTGAGCCACTCAGCGAGAACCTTCACATAGGCAGTTACCGCTGATAAGCTGGTATTATCAGGAATAAATGACTGATGTGTGAAGCTGCTTCTCCTACATCCTCAGCTTGTCTTGCTTATTCTGCCAGGATCTGTACACTTGACTTAAGGCTAGGGAGTGCAGCCAAAGCAAGTTGAGGTGGGTGGATGGGTAGTCAGCAGTTGGGACTAAATGTTTACTTGTGGTAGTTGAGGAAGGAGATGAAGGACTGAGGTTAGTGTTCTGGTGTAGAACACAGGGTCAGGGAGCATCGGATTAGACCTTGAATTTGGAAGGATAGAATTGTATAGTGGGATTCTGGGGGAAAAAGAGATGTGCACGCATCCCTCTACATGTGCAGCCTTTCACTGGGTGAGAGCCACCACTGCCATTGCTAGTGGTGCTTGATCCCACCTCTAATACTAGTGTATCAGCAGATTATGTTTAGGAACCTCTCAGAAACAGCTGTGTATAGTTGGGGATGTTTGTGCCTCTGTGTGTGCACATGTGTATTGTGACTGCATTCCAGTGAGGAGTTCTCCATTTCTATAGGAACAAATTCAAAGGTGAAAAGGTACCAACTCTGAGAGAAGCTGTTGTGGAGTCTATGCATCATGATCTTATCGTCTACTTTGATGTCAAAGGCCATGCAAATCAGGTACTGCTTACTGTACTAAGACACCTTTTCTTTGGGTTTCTAACCTGCTTTTCTGTTGGTCTCAAACTGGTCCAATGTGTGTGGTACAGTCCCTTCTCTAATATGAATGAGACTGAGCCTTTTTGTGTCATCCAAAGCTGGGCTGTCAAAGCAAAAACAACACGTTCCCTCTTCCCATTCCATTGTCCTGGGAAGATGCAACTGAAAATTAGCAGGAGTCTTGTGTGAGTGTTGAGTTCAGCTTGCAGCATCATAATGAAACAAAGCAAAGTGCATTCCCTGCCTGTGCCAGGAGAGCCAGTATCTCATCTTCAGCCTCCAGCTAGGGATCCTGCTTGTCTATAATTTGCATTACTGAAGGCAGATACAGGTGATCAATCACTAACATTTTATGTAAATTAGAATATTTTTTCTTTAGCATAGCAAAATATGGAAATAAATTCTTTTTTCTCCTTGAACTAAACTTCAGAGCTTTAGCCACAATATATTTAAGGATATTTTATACACTGAGAATGCTACTCATTGCTGTAAACAGAACGATGAAAAGGACTTTTGCTGCAAAACCCAGAATGTTATTTCTGTGTTAATGGTATAAATACGATACTGTTTTTCTTTCCCTCCCCTTTCCATTTCAATTTTGTACAAAACAGGAAAGTATTTTTAAAGGGGATTATCATAAAATGTCTTTGCAGTGTAAAGCAAATATAAGTGTATATATAAACATAACATCTGTGTGTATCTCTTAACTGGCAGGCAGTTGATGCCCTAAAACAACTCTACCTGGAATTTCCATATTTGTATAACAACAGCGTAGTCTGTTCCTTCATGCCAGATGTTGTTTATAAGGTGATGTTTCCTAAGTTTATTTTGGATTTTTTCAGTTCTGTCTGTGAATTTCAGTAAGATACACAACTCCCAGTTCCAGATTACTTTTGGGTTGTTAAAGTTGCCGAGACTCTTAAAAACAGATGTAACATAAACATTAAGTCTCCTGCATAATCTTATTTGATCGCTCTGTGCTCATTAGATGCACATGTGAATTTACAGCAATTCCCTCCGTTCTGAAAGCTGTGTAGAAAAAAGTGTGTTGCTCTTACAGTTGGTGTATGGCCAGGTAACCTTGTGCAAGGTCCCTGTTAAAGAAACCTCAGACTTTGATGGAAATGTAGACTATTTTTGCAACTGTTCCCTAATTATTATTGTCAAGTCCATTTACTATGAATTTTATTCCATTGCCTGACTGTTTGGCAATGTTTTTAACATAAGAGCAGTTGCTTATTCAGTATGTTTTCAAGAAAAAAAAACAGTAAAATATCATAAACAGCTTTCTAAAAGAGTTACAAAAGAATCGGGGGGCAGCAGGGAGGGTGAATCTGGTAGAGCTGCAAATGTAAGCTAGCACTTTGTATCTAAGCTCTCCCAATTTATATTGCTTTTGTATGAATTACAGTCTTTTCTCCTTGATCTTCCAGATGAGACAAGCTGACAGAAATGTTGTAACAGCTCTAACACACAGGCCTTGGCAGCTGAGTCATTTTGGAGATGGGACACCCCGTTTCACTTGCTTCTGGAAACATTATTTGTATGCGATGATGGACATCATTCTAGATTGGAGCCTACACACTTTCTTGTGGCAATTGTGTGGGGTTTCAGGTTTCCTCATACAGAAGAATTTTGTTTCTCGGTAAGTGTTAAAACTTGCTAATGTATCAGGAGGCAGTACCATTGTATTAGTGTAGAAGGGAGGAGTTAACATATATGTGTTAATCAATACATTCCATTTAATGTTGTGTAAGTTTGTTGAGATAGTTTCTTTACCACATGCTATTTTATTATCTTAAGCCTCTGTCTTTTCAGTCTATATTTTTGTCTTATGTTAGATCCTAAGTTTGATCTCAAAGGGCAAGAAAACTGTTGCTTTTGCCTGTTTACAGTAATAAAACACAGAAAGTTGACATTGCAAAAGATGACACAATACTGATGCAAGACTAAAACTCAGCTGTGGCTTCAGCACTGTCTGCCTTAAATATGGTACTGTCAGCCTTCCTCTTATGGTGCTTTTATTCCTTGCAGAGAGTATATGAGGCACTGGTCTTCAAAAGGAATTCAAGTGGTTGCCTGGACAGTGAACACATTTGCTGAAAAAAACTACTACGAAACCGTCCTTGAATCCAGCTACATCACCGACAGCTTGGTGGAAGACTGTGATCCTCATTACTAGACCTGCACTTTGCAGACATGTGCCAACCTAAATAAGTCATCTACTCGGGCAGGTCTGAATTCACCATTGAGAGGGTATCCCCTGGTGGTGATGGGACTGCTAAGGATAGTTCTGGGAAAAGGAAGAGCAGTAGTTTACTTATGCTGTGGGGTCAGATCTCAAAGGCAGAAAATCCCTCTGTTGCAACACTGGACAAAACTGAGGTACAGCCATTCAGTCTGTAGAGATCACACTGTAATGTAAAAGGATCAGATTTGACAAGCTAACTGGGCAATACACTGTATGTGCAGGTTGCTTTATAATTCTCAGACTGTTCCTTTCCTTTATTTAAACTTTGGTTATAAAGCCGTATCAGCAATTTTTGGTGGCAAAATTTGAAATCATACCTTGATTTTAGTAATCTAGCCAGTCTGTTCTACAACTGCATAATAATTCAAGGTTGATTTATGGCATCTTAAAAACATCTACATCACTGTTTTCAAAACAAAACCTGAAAATAATGGTGCCAAAATAGAGAGTGAGCATACGTATGGAAAGATGGCTGTGCTGCACCCTGACAAGGAAAATAAAGTCAACTTTCATGTTCAGTGTGAAGGCTGTAAGAATTAATGAATAAAACTTCACTATCTTCTTATCTTCCAGACCCTTAAAAGAACAAAGGGAGGGTAGTATGTTAGTTTTAATGACACACCACATGAATGTATCTATTTTTAAAGAAAGCTATATATCAAGTGTTGGTAGTGGTAGAACAAATACAGTTGAAATGGCTTTTTACTTTGCTTATTGTTTGCATGATTGAAGGGCACTCACAAAGGTATGTGGGAAACTGTAATCCAGATTTAACTTGAAATCAAGAGTCTGCAGTTCAGTAAACAAGTATCTGACAGCTGATGGGTGTGGTATTCTTTATCAGCTGTGCAGCAGTAGATTTGTGTAAAATGCCAAAAACAACAGCAAGCAAACTGCACTAACAAGTAAAACCCCAAGGTGTTCTCATTGCAGCTACCATCAACAGGCCACGAACAACTTTGGCTCTGATCTGTCAGTGATTAGCAAGAGCAGAAAACTCTCATGGAGCCAGCCCTAACCTTTTCTTAATGGTCAATACATGGGATTAGTAAGTTTAATGATTCCATTTTAGAATGTGATACTGATTTCAACAGAAATGAGGAATTTGAACATTTCACATTGGTTACCTGCTGCAGGTTATTCAGATGTAACCTCACAAGACACCTTAGACTGCACATGTAGCAATTTCTATGTTTGACTGGAGTGTGTAACCCTGTTTTAGTAAAATAGTTCCTTGTGTAGTTCCTTGTGCTAGTTCAGTGTTGTTGAATTCATGGTTTCCTTGTTTGGGTGTTGCAGTGTTCCAGCTGATGTACTGCACTGGGTAATCAAGTTAGGATGTGTTGGGGGAAAAGCTGCACTTAGCAGAAAAGGAACAGCAGATCGCATGGACTGGTGGTGCAGTTTGGTACACTGCTTTGGATATGTGTGTTCTTGATAGTGTGTCTCACGGTTAGAGTTAGTTCTCATTCACAGAGCCAACTGAGATTTTAAAAAAACTTCTATAACAATAGGCCAAAGGTAATTTAAAAAAAACCAACAGTCATCAATGGAAAGAACTACACAATTGTCCCAATTGAGGTACTTCTGAATTAGCAGCAGATAAACGCTACCTTCTACAAAGGAAAACAGGAGTAAGGTGGCTGATGGGAGCCTCTTCAATTTCTATCACTGATCCACCCTATACTGCAGAACCACCAATCTCAGTCTTCTGGTGCACATCCTGTATCGTATGTATGTTACTCTCTCAGTTTCTGTCCAGCCATTTCATGAGTGCTGTAGCCTCTGCCTTCCCTGCTGTGTTCTACAGGCACATCCCGACCTGCCATCAGAAGAGTAGATGACCCTCCATGGTAACGACCATTGCTCCAAAGGCCCATTTTCTGTTGCTGCTTGGGTTGCTGGCACTGTTGAGTCGCTGCCCTCGGTGCAAACACTACACCCATATTGACTATTCACAGCCAGACTCTACACTTATATATGCAGAAAAACATAATAAAATTGAATATCTGGTCTCATGTGTAAAGTTTGTCCTTTTTTCTGTATTGTTGGTGGCTGGTTTTGGGCATTCTTTAACCTAAACTATGAGCATGAGGACAAGACATACCTGTTTCCTAAGGCATTTCTATGTCCAAAGCAACAAAGGAGGAATAAACCAGGCAGCAGCAGAAAATGGGCTAAAAAAATTAAATTATCATCACAGCAAATTTGTAGCTCTGAATAAAAAGAAGCTGCATCAAGTGTCTCAAAGTCATGTGATAAAAAACTCAATTGTGTTACTTCCAATCTATCCTTTACAGGAAAAGGTAAGTGTAAAGCTTTTGTTTACAAGCAGTGGTTTTACACAGATGAGAATTTTGATAAGTAGTCACTCTTAAAAAAGGGTTCTGATAACTTTTAACATCAAAGCTGGTTTTCAGTGACTGCAATATACTGTATAAATGGCTCAGAAAGGTGGAAACTGAATAGAAGCTTAACTTTGTGCACACAAGTTATTTTGCAGCCATTACAAAGTCTCGGCCATTAAAAACAACTGCACTTAAATGTCTATTTTTATTTGTCTGATACTTCACTTTTGATTTAAATCAAAGCAGTTTGAACAACGTCACTGATATAAAAACATTTTTAGACCAAAGTTTTTATTTATAAATAGGCACAAGCCAACAAGTGACCAGCTGCAGAGGGACCCCACTGTATCAGGGTAATGGCCAGTCCTGGGAAAGGCTGATGATCACCAGAACATTACTTCAAAACCAAACCGAACATGCAGGATATTCCCTGTCATCATCATAAACTGCAACCAGGATCCATTTAGTAATCTCTTCTATTTTTTCTTCTATTAGGGGTATAAAAAAATAAAATGTTTGAATGGTTCTTTCAGTCATCAGTGCAAGTGAGTATTGCTTTCTGCAGAACATCAGTCAGTGACTTAACATTTATTATTGATTCTGCCTGCTTATGGTCAAAAATCTTTCTCATCATCTTCGTCTTCCCACTGAGCTGCTTCTCTAGCGTGCAGAGCAAGCACCACTGCCTCGGACATGCCTGGCCTGCTGCTGGGCTGCGATGTCTCTGAATCTGTTTTTCACAAGGGAAGCAATGTTAACTGTGTTGGTGTCGGTACAATAACCTCCATCCCCGCCGTTAAAAAGCCCCATGCTATTTAAGTGGCTCTTCTGTCATGCATTTGGAACGCAGTTACATGTTTGTGTAAACCAGGAATAGTTCAGGCTACCATGCAAGTTTCCATAGCTTTTTTTATTTCAGACATACAATGTCCTAGGGACTCTGCATCATTAATAACCTCTTCTGAGATTCACACCAAGATGTGAACTCTCTCTCTAATGTGTTGTAATATTCTTGCTTGTGGCTGCCCCATTAAGACATAATAGCTCATTTACCCATTCTGGCATGCAGAAGCTTGTGATCAATCTTCAGAAGTCATCACCAACATTGCAATAAGCACATCCTATAGATGCGTCTATGCAAAACCCCAGTCCTTTTGTTTTCTCTTTATACAGGATGCTCTAATTCCGTGTCTCTATCATTAAGCTATGTGTCTGTACTGTATCAAACATTTTTACTGAGCTGAGCTTCTAAGAGTTGCTTTATATATTTAGCATTTGTTGCTTACCTAGTGGGAAGCCAGCGCCACTCAAGATCCCAGCAGAATAGGAATACTGAAAACAAAATTCACAAGTAGATTTAGGTTCATGTTTCCCTCATGTACCTGCTATCTTGTATTTAAAAAGATAGTAGTCACCTGTACCAAAAACATGCTCTCCAGATCTTAAGCAAGTTTCACAACAGCTATTCTGACTACATTTTTGTACCCGCTCGTATTAATCTTTAGAATTGTTTCTATATATGCAGGGTGACCTCTTAGTTCAACATATACCTGTTGTCAACACTGTGTATATCATGCCCCAGGCTCTATATAGGGAAATCTAGTGGAGACGTCCTTCTTTTGACCATCTCACCTCATTGTGGGATGCTTTTTGATTTCTGTTAAATGCTCTTCCTGAGTAGTCTGGTACTTGCTGGGCAGGTTGCCTGGATGGGTGGTATGAAGACGACATCTGAAAAACAGAACATTTGGCATTAGCAATACTATACTCTGGCTTCTAATAATGAATTTATGATCAGCGCCACTCATACCCTTGCTCTAGGGAGATCGCTCTTCTACTAGATCCACAGTGAAATTATTCTGGCACCTCCTTTTGAAATCTGACCTTAAAAACCACACAAATCTCCACACTTTGTAAGCTATCAAGCACTCCCCTCAGGAGTCCCAGCTGTGGCCCTGGACACGGCCACAGCGTTTTCTAGTGTTTGAAAATCCCCAGCACAGAGTAAACACCCATTCACTTTAAGCTTCCCTCTCCCTCTCTTGGTATTATCACATATGTATTTATATTCATCCATATATCAATATCAATTATTATACCTATTCATACTTATTTGCATTATCACATTAATGATGACCAGTCATACAGGGAGATTTTGGTTTTTGGGGGAGGGAAGGGAGCCTAACAAACCATTTTTCTTCACCGGTATGTAGGTCAAAGAGTTTTTGCTGAACCCAAATAAAAACACCACACAGCACCTGTATGTGCATAAATTCAAAAATAAATCCAAAAGAAATTAAAGTTTCAGACATTAGATGTCTATCTTGATGTTGTATGGGATTTAAAATGAGGTTAGGTCAAAGCACTCAGTTTTACCTCAGCTGAAAAAACTGGGGGGGGCAGGGCACAAACCATAAACGCCAAAGGAAATCCAGGGTCATGGGACAAAGGCAGACTTCTCCTTAGTCCTGGCAAGGTTCAATCGTGGCCAAACCCTTCAGTGACCATCACTGCACACATAGATCAGGAATGTTTTCCTGCATTTTCATAATCATAAATAATGCCTAGTGAGGGTAAGGACTTTTCTAAATCTCTCCCAGGTTAAATTCCCATCTGGAACAAATATTTAGGGAATTTCCATCGTATCCTTTTGCTGTCTAGAGCTAACCAGTAATCAATCAACTTACGTGAAGTTTAAAATACAGACATATCTCAAAATGGCAGCCTATTTGCAACGCTGGAGGAACCCCATAGTTCAGATACTACTGTTTCAATTATCACACTGACCTGCTGGTCTTGTCCTGTTGGTGCACATGGGTTTTGGTTTGCCCTTTGCAGTACCCGTAGTTTTTCAAGTAAAAACATTTTATCTTTTCCAACCTATGGTGAAGACACATTTGATCATTAGCTGGAATTGACTAAACATTCTTCAGAAGCTCGATGCCTATGAGGAACAATTGATCAAAATAATAACTAAAATTTCTTTTATACTCTACTTTTTTTTTATACTTTTCATCTGTCTCCAGAGGGAGCCGCAGCAGCACAGCTTGAAGGTAAAATTATTTTGCAACAGCTCCATTTGTAAGTTAAGTTTCCCTGCAATTCCTACAGGGGAAGGCTCCCACCCTTCCTTGAAATGTCACAGGAAAAGCAGATGACAGGTCCCCAATAGCAGGATGAGACAATCAACAAGGAAGCCAAATTTTAAAAAAGATTAAGCTGAAAGTGAAACTTACATTAATAATTTGCTTATGTAGGAGTTTGGCCATGGTCTTTCTTCCTTCTATTATTTGCACGTAAAGATAAGCAATAATTCTAAAAAAAGTAAAAGCTATAGTCACTGCCTAAACAGAAAATTATCTTGTTTATTTTATCTATTAGATATATCCATTTTATCCACAGATATATACACATATCTATACATGCATATATATATATATATACACATATACACATACACACGTATATAAATAAATGTATACAATTACACAAGGAATGGCAAACACATGAAATTGCTTAAGACATTCTCCTGGAAAAGACCCAAAGATTTATGGACTTGTATTCAAGATGAGAGGTATCATTTTAGCAAGTCAACAATACAAGGTGCATTTCAGATAACAAAAAGGAACCTAATGATCTTATCTAATGTGGTGTCATTTGCTTAGACACATGCGTGGACCGTAAATCACAACACTGAACACTTACTACCTCCAGGCCAATCCTGGTCCCACTAGGACGAGTGGGATCTTGTTTTATGAGAACAGGTTTGGGCTCTTAGATGTGCATGGCCCATGCCAGAAATACCAAGCAGCACAGTTACAACATCAAACCCTACCAGTGGGCACATAGCTTAATATGCACATGGTGGTTTCGGCAAAATAATTTACTTCAACCAAGGAGACAGTATGTGAATTTAGCCAAGATTAGGTGGAAGCAGACTGCAACCTACTTACTAACGTTTCCCCATACAGTGTGCTCACTTTAACACGCTGCTTGTGAGCTACCACATCCTTCCACCGCAGCGTCCCTGTGATAGTTCAGCTATTCTGTACATGGTATCATCTCCTCTGATGACTCCACTGATGAGAAATGGTCAGGAAAGACAAAGCAACCACCTCCCAAACTTCCGCTTTTTACATTGCTCAGGGTCCTAGTATACATCTGGCCTGTATTGCCTATGCTTGTAAAAAGCTTGCTCTTTCTCTGTTTATTCACCTCTGGGGAAGAAAAAAAAAAGGCAACACCCAAAAAAAAAGGCAACACCCCCCAAAAAAGTAATCTATCCTGCCAACTGGATGCAGCATATTCCCTTTTGCTGATGTTCCCAAGGCTAAGTGTGTCAGTGGTAACAAGATCTGAAGCCTAGGCAGCAGTAAACTAGAAATATTCAATTAAAAGCAATGCACACTAGGGTTAGCAAGAAGCTGATTTGTAAAGAGCTTTGGCATCCTAACATAAAAGGAATAAGTTTTATAACTGCTTTATGTACTTCAAATACATGAATTTCCAGTATATTAACCATTTCTGATGCTTTAAAATATACTTTGCAATTTTATTTTTCTTTTTATGAAGAAGGGCTATGCCATAGCCAGTTTTTTTCCACTTCAGGTCCTTTTCCAGTGCATTTCATTAGCAGGTACTTACAGGACAAGAGTAGAGAGGATGAAGAAGAAAAGTTCACTTGTAATTAAGTTTTGGTAGATCCACACTACCCATTTGGAGGCAGTGTAATTTTCCAGTACTTTTATCCACTCAGAGACTGCGGCATACATAGAAGACAAACCTCTGAAAGGACCACATTCTTCTGAAGGTTTTAAGCTGAAAGTGTGAGAAAAAAGCTACTTAAAGTTTCATAGATTCAGCTGATATTATGATTTTGCACATCAAGATGCCCATTAGTTTGCTATAGCCCTCTGCTCTCTTTGGACCCTCAGGGAACTTCCATTATCTGCATTTGATTTTTAATTGGGTCACTCTCCAGCCATTAAAATGCTCTCTCCAAACTACACAGTGAGAGGTAAGAGACCTCACTGCAATGCATCAGTACCAAGCCATGTAAACACAATCTTGACCTAAATGTAACAAGTCAATCACTGCAGAGCAAGCTACAGCAAACTGAAAATCTGAATTTTCAAAGTTTCACCACAGGTACTTGAGTGAACCATCATTTCACCTTGCCTTTGAAGATATGAATCGCTACAGATTTTCAGTAACAAAAGGATGTGCTGAAGTAAGGCAGCTTCATGAAGTAGCCACTTCATGTTTGCTTGTTGAAATGTTTGCTTCATGTGTAACCACTTGTCTTACTAAATACTGAAATGATGTCGCTAAGAATCACCAAGAAAAATAAATGCGTTATCTATGCTGCCTTCCTTACTGTGACCAGAGTAACAAGCACATAAACAAAGCACCTTTAAAATACTGGTAGCAACCAAGATGCATTATTGCAGAGGTCAGCACTCCCTGCAAAAAGAGCCTTTGAAATTCATAAATAATCCAGAAGTTGGAATCAGAGAAGGTTTTGGGTTGGAAGGGACCTTTAAAGGTCATGTAGTCCACTCCCTCTGCAGTGAGCAGGGACATCTTTAGCTATATCAGCTAGAGCATGGGCAACTTCACCTTGAATGTTTCCAGGGATGAAGCATCTACCATCTCTCTGGGCAACCCATTCCAGTGTTTCACCACCCTCACTGTGAAAAATTGCTTCCTTATATCTAATCTAAATCTACCCTCTTTTAGTTTAAAGTTGATCTCAGCTGAGTTTTTCCAAGCATTTCTCCACTGCAGACTCAGTATGATCTATAATGTAAGTTAAGTCCAGGAACTAGGACTAGGTTGCAGAAACTTCTGAGGAGGAAAAGCCAAATTTGCTGTGATACTTAAACAGAAACCCAAAACTTCAATGTATCGTCGTTTCTCCTCTCAGTTCCTTATGGGACCAATTACTGCATTTTCCACATTCTTGCAAACTCTCTGAGCATGTCATGTTTTCAGAATACAGAACATGTCAGGAACATCTGAAACTTTCCATTAACAATTACTATAGCTTTTTCTATAGAAAAATGCAGATTCCTCTGCCTGGTATCAGGTCATATAGCATAACGTAGCAGGCTTAAATGCCAGTTATCTTCCATACCTCCAGATAGTGACTCCAGTGACAGAGAGGACTCCAAGGAAGGAAGGGAAAAACAGCAGGAACAAGAAGGAAGTTGTCATTTGAGCAGTTCTCCAGACTTTGCAAGGGGGCTGGCAATTCATCATGAGACTGACCTTTAAGGAGATGAAGGTACACTGACTCAAGGCATGGTGTTACCTGCCACATCAACTCTGTTTAAATCAACCCCATTGAAACTGCTGGTGGCAACTGCTGGAATAGCATCTATGAAAAGTTTCTAAGAACTTCTTTTATATGAATTTGATAGATATATTGTAGTTTTAGAAAAATTCAAGAATGTAGTCATTAAATAGTAAGAGCCAAAATGAGGTTCTGATGGGTTCTTCAGGACTCTGTTGGGTGAAGTCTGCTTTTGTAGCATATGCAAACCCACAGTTCAGGGAAGTTTGAATCAATCTTTCTAGCTATAGCTTTGTTTTTCTGCATTCAACACTACAAACTGTTCAATGATCCAACAATCAATCTATCATTTAGTCATACTACTGAGACAAAGAATTCTGAAAAGAAGACATTTCCACCAAGATCTTTAGCTGAATCACCTTGCTTAGACTTAAGATAACTTTGTGGGGGGCACTGCTGGGGAGCAAGCAGGAAGCCAAAGGCAGAGCCACAGGCTGAGCACCTATACTGACATGTGCACTTGTACACTGTTAATAACCCAACCTTTATTTTCACTGCTTTTTTCTCTTCACTCTCTAACTGTGCTCTTAACCCCTCCTATAACCCTTCACACTTTCTCCCCCTCTGAAGTTTCACAGGTTTGTAATTCCAGGGCGCGCATCTAAACCGTGTTCCTTTAAAGCACCCTCCTACCCTGAAACCCAATCAACCAAACTGTTCCCCTAAATACAAAACTTCAGACTCCAGACAAAACCAGCACTTTCACACAATAAATTCTGCCCAGATTTCAAATGGTGTAAATTTATGATGAATACATGTAAAGCTTCTTACCTTTTTCACATAAAATACTATAGAAAACGATATCATCTGGATACCAGGCAACAGAGGCGAGAAGAGGATACCAATCCTAGAAGAAACAATTTATAAGAGAAAAGTTAAATATTCACTATTCACCACACAGCTCTCAGTGCACTGAAAGCAGAAAATATCACACTAACTTCATATACAGTTGATGTATGGTTATTTGGATATGTAATTATATTAACATTGACCCTGTAACAGTAAGTCAGTCTTTAAAAATATGCAACTTCAAGCATACATATCTATGTACACATCTGGAAAACTCTCTTATAATTGGAGTAACATACTCATTCTTTGAAATAAGGCATCTTTTCCATTTAATAGTGAGACTATTTCAACAGGGACATCATTCCAGTAAAGAAGTAAGCAAAACTCTAGGATGTTCCTTTTACCAGCTTCTTCCAGACCAGATGGCCACATGGAGTTGGCAGTGCTAGGTTAGCAGTTGCATTCGATGATCTTAAATGTCTTTCCCAATCCATGCAATTCTGTGATTCTATGTTAAACTACTCCCTGAAGTTATTCTTATTATTTTCATTACAAAGAGAACTGGCAAGTCACAATCCTCACAAAGGTACTTAATATGTCATCTCTCTCGGGCACTTACCCCATTCTTTCCCCCATGATGGGAAACACCCAGATATGTCAGAATAAGGATGCTCCATGGTATTTCTAAGTGCAAATGAAGTTTTGGCTGTAAATGCAACACTTACCAGGTCAAAGTCTGTGCATAGATCAAATCTAGAACATTTCGTCCGATATCAAATTCTGGCAGTCCCAGGCTCAGACAGACTGTAGTTCCAATAATTCTAGGGGGGGGGGAACCAAACCACAGCACAATGCAATTTTCTAAATAATAAAACTCTGTGTAGAAATCTCTACAAATTACTTCCTAAATACGAACATCAATGACAAATTATTCAGGGGCTGCATTAACCTTGTCATGCAAAGCAGCCACAGCTCATTGATTAGACAGCACAACAAAAATGAAACAGAATTTGGCAAAAGCAGATTCCCATAACACACAGCAGGGTTGAAATAAGACCTAGGATATTTTTCATGCAACTCAAAAAAAAAAAGGAAAAAAAAAGAGAATTCATAACTATATCAGAAAAGTATGCTTATGCTTAAACCGTTGAAATGGCAAGTTGCCTCAGTACAAAACCGTAACAGCTTTTCAGTTCTTGAATCCTGAGAATTTTCAGCCTCAAGCAAAAAACTGAGTCTTGCAGACTGATACTCTTAACATATCCTTAAGTATATTCTAGTTCAGGCTAACTGAGGTTGCAAGTAGCTGAGAGATACACAGGTAAACAAGCACTCAGGATTCCTACTGAGCACCAACAATCCGGTTTTTATCACCTCATTTTTCCTGAGCTGGTGAGATTCAGTTTCTACTTGTAGCAAGAACAATAAAGATTTTGGAAGTTATCCCGTCTTGCCTTGAGATGGTCTTGGTACCACCTTATCAGCTGCATCACCAACAATGTTTCAGGGCCAAGCTCTCAGGGCGTTACTCTGAATACATACAAATAAGTATGAGCAATTGTACTTTTAATCTTTCACAGCTGTAAGTCTGCTGTTTGCACAGCTTCGTGAAGGACATTTCTTACAGCTGACGCTGCAGTTTTGGTACTGTGACCTTTTGCTGGGAGGTGGTTTCATATCAAAGTAGGACAAGAACAGGAGGATTAAAGTACACTGGCAAGAGCTGTGGAGGGAAAGTCTTCAAGGGCTTCTCAACGTTGTTTTGTGTTAAATTAAGTTAACAAAGTCCTACCTTGTAAACCAGTCTTGTTATCATCACATGCAAAGGGCAAACAATGGATCTCCTACACAAGTATGGCCAGGAACACTCAATGCCCTGTACAGCTGGCAAGCGCTTAAATGCTCTACTACCTTAAGTCACAAATAATGTTTGGCAATAGGAAGGTACACACAGCAGATGTGAGAGGTAAATTACTTTTTGCTTACATGCTTAGCTGTATCCATGTTCAGTTAAAAATACTTTCTCACAATGCTGCAGAACTCTACCCTTGAGAGTCATATTACCTCCTTAATAAGGCTGATTAAAATAAGATTTTAAACTTGTGTGCACTCTGTGCACATAACCAAGAGGATAAAAAATACAGGGGGACATACCAAGAAAAGCTAGCAGTGTGCCTGTGCATATACAAAAAAGCAAGGTTTTCTGCTTGGGACACTCAGTCCTTTGTCAACCCATTCAGGAGATCCATGGGAGTACAATGTGGCTTCCTTCCTGACTGTGCTTCCATGTCCAAAGGAAAAAAGCACACACTGGGAGAGCAGAGCGGTACACACTCTGACTTTCACCTAGGAAAGAGCTGCAACATATGCAAGGCATGTACCCAGAAACTATGCTGATAGAGACAACCAAGGAAGTTTCAGTGATGCCACAGACATGCTTCTGTTGGACATCTTTTCCCACACCGGAAAAAAATACCATTTCTTTGGTGTCTTTGGTTAATGAATCAAAACAAGGTTAGAAAAGTAGTACTTACCTTCGTAAAAACTCTCCAAAGAATGAGCCAAGCAAACAAAATATGAAGTCAACGAGAACAAGACGATAGATATCTTGGCCAATGAGAGTTTCCCAGCACTTTAAGTAGAAGAAGTAGTAGAAGAAAAAAAGCCTATTTAGAAGGGAAAAATCATACAATTCTAACATTGTTCCCAAATGCTTGGGCATCTGAAACTTGGGCTACAGATCAGAGATTTGCTAACAGCCTGACTAATCAGTCAACCTCTCATTGAACAATGCTGCAAACCAACTGAGACCAAAGTTGGGAGATTAATTTTTTCCTACAGTTCATTTATCTAAAGATACTAATAAAAAATATTGAGGTGGCAAATTCAGCTTTCCAAGATACTATGTGTACTTCTCTTTGCTGGAGCAAGCCTCTTTTCAAAGTGGTTCCTAACCTGGCACTGTAAGTCAAAGACTTTCATACTTTTATTTTTGAAGCCTTACCTGTGACACTGATGCAGCCACAATGTTAAGCCAGTAGTAGCACAGTATTCCAACAATTGATATTTTCAGGATAATATTTCTAAAAAGAAAAAGTAACAGTAAGTGCACTGCCAGCTGCTCCACAAGCTCACTGGAAGGAACAGCAGCAGGGTGACCATTGGTTACACTTTATTACCTCCTAACAACAGCACTGCAGAGTGCCAGCACTAACAGGAGCTCTCCTTGGAGCTCCTAGGTGCAGCATTATTCTGTTGTCCTGGCAGAAGGAGCACTGGGCATGACAGCCTTGGCACAAGCCTCTGTTAAAACAAGTTGCTGATTGGGTGCGGCCTCCACGGGGGAGGAAGATCTGCGGGACACCAGGGGTTACACGGTGTTAATTCTTTGTTAATCATATGTATTTAAGTAAGACCTCCTCACTCCTCTCTCCACTTCCCTTCATTTCCTTGGGGGGTCACCAGCCCAGGTGCCAAATAGGGGAGCTACAAAAAAACCCAAGTCTGGTGCCACAGTGTACCTGAGAGGGAAACCAGACCCTGTCCTCGTGAAGAGGTGTAACACTCCAGAAGGCTCAAGGAAGACAAACAAAACATGGAGAGAAGAGTGTACAGAAGCTTTTGGAGAAGATGAATTCTCCTCCATGGCTTTCTACTGCTCACCACAGCACGTAGACACAGCTTGCTGTCAAAAAGAAGAGTCAGACAACTTCAGCCAAAAAGCACTCAGAGGTGGTAGCAACAAATACCTGATAATAGTGACATATATGTGGTGTCCAGGAGTCTGAAATTTCTCCAGATGTCCAAGCCATGAGTAGAAGAATGGGATGAATGCGTTGAGGACAGATGCAACAACAGGTAGCACCAACATGGCAGCTTGGCTCTCTAGGTCATTTTTATGCCCTTTCACAAACAGCTTCGAGAACAAAAACAAGCAAAATTAAACAAACAAACAAACCAACAAACCCCAACCAAATAACCGCAACTTAGTGTCTTAACCAAAATACTGCCTCAAGTTGCACCCACAGAGAAGACACTTGGCACACCTCCCCATATGTTTTTAGGTTAGAGACTATCACATTTTATGGGCCCATGTCCAGCAGCACAGTGACCCTGTCCCCTGCCTCACATTACATGGGACCAATGGTGGGAGGCCTAGCTTAAACGCAGCTCCTAGGCAATGGAGAGGCAGGCCTTGCTGAGGATTCTTGCTGTTTCTTGCAAGGTTGCCAGCTGTACTATCCCTAACCTTGCCACAAACCCAGGCAAGCAGCTGTTGGGGTGAGGCAGAAGATTTGCTCAGACTCCTCCAGTCCTATGCTCTTACCATAGTCCCCAGTGGTGCGAGCCTTCACAAACCAGTTTTTTAGGTACAGCAGAATTTGTGTTTGCACTGGCAAAAAAAACCAGCTACACTTCCGCACGGTCCTAGTAGTGAACAGACCACTGCTTGCACTCAGCATAAGATACCCATGCGGAAAAAGGCATCTCCAAAACCAGACTGAAAAATCTGTCCTTACCTCTAGGTTATTAATGGAAAGGAAGTAAACACCAGCACAAGCAGCTACTGCTGTTCCCAGGGAAGCAGCCCAAGCAACAAGATGAATAACAATACGAACAACTCTCTCTGTTACAGAAAAATTTAGAACTTCTCGGTTTACTTCAGTGAGATCTTCCTGCAAGGAAACAATTCCTAATGAAGAATTCCTTTGTCAACAGCATAAAGCAATACTTGTTTCGAGTAACAACTTCAGAGACTGAAAGATTCTTTCTCTAGAAGATGGGCAGACTAATATCCTGGGAACATTCACTGGACAACTTTGTGTTCCTATCCTAAAAGTCTTTTCTCTTGACAGTTACACTGTATTTCACAGATAGTATTATAAGCCTACCTTTTGTTTACCAAATGGTTAAATAGCAGGAAGTAAAACCAGAAGAAATATTATGTTTGGCAAATATTTAATAGTCACAGAGATTTATTCAGTAAAAGAGAAGCATACAAATATTGATATGTAGCTTAAAGAGAAAAGAAAAACAAGTAGCTAAGCCAACTCCAGGAGTTCAAACCAAAAGAAACTTAACAGTCAGGAAGACTTAAGTCTACAAGGAACAGGACTAGCATGCTTGAGTCACTCTGCCAAATTTGTGTATGCACATACAACTACTTGGCAAAATGACTCAAGCATGTCAGTTTTGTACCTCCCGTGGTTTGTACCTTTATTTGTGTGCTGAGATTCTTTTGTTTCAGCTTCACAGCTTTTTCATTAGTTATATTGAAGTCCCAAGTGCAGAGAAGTTTGCTAGCATTTACAGAGTATATCTGAGAGTTCATGAAGTTCCTGAAGAAGGATTTTGCAATGCTGCAAAGAAAATTAAGTTTGTGAGATGTGTAATGGGAAAATACATGAAGTCTGTAGAGCAGGGCAAGAAGGGAGATTTAACAGTTTTTCTATCCCATTCCAAGGCTACTGGACCTACGTTAGAGCATGTCACATAAGACAACACGGAAAATAAACTTTAATGTAAGAAACAACTCTCACATTTCCTACTCCTAGTTGTTCCTGTCAATCTTTACCTCTGGAAGGCCACACCAATATCAGAACACATTAGGAGCAACAGCTTACAAAAGGGGGTCATGATATTAATTGGTTTGAAATGGGATTTTCTGCATGTACCTTACTATTTTGCAGTTATTCTTCACTTGTCTAATAAAGGTTCGATTTCTGGAGATTGTATTTTGAGTAGAAACTTCTACTTAAACTCTAGACTTGAAAATAAGGACTTTTAGAAACATAAGTAATTATTATTGCCAACCATTGTCAGGGTGGGTTTTTCTTTTTTGTTTGTTTTTCCCTTAATATAGGTGAAATAAAAATATATAGTTAGCTTACCTGAACAACAAGATAAGAAAACAGATGAGAAAATATATTCCAATGGTGAATATATAGGCCAGCTGCATGTTATAAGATGGACCATTCTCTATTTTGCTGATTGTAGCATTGGTATAAAAGCCATAGTAGAGTACTGTATGTTGAAAATAACCCTGAAAAGATATGGACATCATTCACAATGTTTGCTATCACCTGCACATGGCAGGAAGCATCATCATCTGAAACCAAATTAATGGAAGTGGAAGCTGTTCCATTCCCATTCAACACATTTGCAGGATTTGGTCTTTTCCGAAAATTCCTGAAGATGGAAAGGTTTAATTGTTTCTTAGGAGCAAGGTTCTGTACCGACAAATTTTATCAATTATGAAGGAACCAGGAAGGAAGCACATGACATTCAACACTAGAGTTACTGCATTATAGCTGAACTCCTGCAATGGTGACTACTTTGCAAAGCTAAACAGAATTACTACAAAACACAGCACTTTAAAAGCAACTTTTAGAAGGAAAAAGTTGACATTTTTCCTCTTTAAAAAGTTCTCTTCTCAACTAACTATTAGTAGGAGCAGAGTCTTGTTTACTAACTAGATAAATCCTTTAACAGCAATGAAATTGATACATTTTTTACAGAAAGGACAGAAAATAGAAAAAGTTGTCTTCTCAAATTACTTAGTCGATTAATACTAGAAGAGTTAAAGCAGTGTAAAATCTTCCTTCAAAAACAGCCTGGGCCTTTATTCCCTAAATGTAAACACCTCCACACAATGAAAAGATCCTCCAGTTTCCAGGAACCAGTGATTTCTGTGGGTTGCCACAGAAAGATCTCTGTGCTAATTGGAAAAATAAAGCTTTAGAAATAAGCCAAATTCACAGGATTGATGCAAATCGGCATTGACTTTTCAGAGAAAAATTAGCAAGAGAAAAATTTCTGCTGAAGATTATTGTAGCTATCTCTGGAAGGCCTGGCTTCCTTTGTGTCTCTTCCACTGCTTTCTTAAAGAGTGATGAAAGTCTTGAAATATGGCTGAACACAGCAATCATTTGCAGCGAGATAAATGCATCAGAATGAGCGCCAGCCACCTCACTCTGAGTCAACATCTGTTGCAGCTTCTTTGTCAAATAAATACTAAATATTTTTTCTAGTCACGTAAAATTCTAACTCCACCTGTTAATAAGAAATACTTTTTACTCTATCGTGAGTTTTTTAAGTAGATCACAGTACTAGTACAAATCAGTTGTTACATACTTACAGCTCCAGTGAACAGCTCCAGACCAGTGAACATAAGGTTATTTGGTTCTGCTGCAACAAACTGAGGGATTGTGATAAAACCGAAGTTTATGAGGAATGAGAAGATGTTGAAAGTTAGCAGCCACTTCAAGAAAATAAAATAAGAAAGAACACTTGTTCCAAACTCGGCACCAATGATCTTCAGAGTCTTATGCCAAAACGGCAGTAGGTGAAAGTATTCTGACAAGCTATTTCCAAATCGCCGAAATGACTGAAGTGCAAAAGAGGAGAGATGAATCTCAGCAAGCAGTATTAAACAGGACTCAAACTCACATAATAAAGTCTCACATTTTTACAGCTCTATTTTGATAAGAAGAGTAGATTTCCCTCACTACATGCACCATAAGGTGCTTAATTGGGGTTCCTACGTGCTACCATAATGCCAGTCATCATTAATGAACATTGCAGCAATTAATTGCTCTTTGGTAAGTAAAATAAAACAAGATACCAGATACCACTGGAGACACTGATAGCATTACAGCAGAAGCGGTTTAATCTATTGTGACTGACAGAAGTTTCTGACACTTACCACTACTGTTCCCTGCAGACACTGTATACAGCAGGACATCTGAGTACTGCGGTGCCTTGATTTTTTTGTTATTTCTTTAAGAACTTTATTCCTGTGAAAGAGCAGGGCAGGGGGTGACAAACATTATAGTGTGGTTGTAATTAAAACAAGAAGCCAAAGAAGCTGCTGTAAATATAGTTACACACATGCACATGAACAGTGTTAATAAAACATGGGGATGTTCTGCTGATTGTTTTTCTATTAGCTGATATTAGCTCTCATCCATGCTGTGACAGTATGTTCTAACCCCTCCACTAACTCACTCTAGGAACAAAATTTAAATGTATTCTGTGAGAAGACAAAAGGATGGTTGAGACCATGTGATCTCTCCTCCATTTTCAGTGGTCAACATTCAAGTTTAATTTGAAAAGAAATCACAAGACACCATTCATAATAAAATCTCAAGGCCTTGATATTCTGTTTTGTATTACCATGGAGATTCTTCTCATACAATGAAAGGACAGTGAACCATCTTTACTTTCCCTTGCAAGATGTCAGCTTCTTAAAAGAGCATTTAAAAGTACTTTCAGTTCTTACAAAGTGACAAACCAAAGCTGAGCAGATGGTAAACACACATACTTAATACCCAGATGTTGAAATAAAAATGCTGTTTGTAAAAATAAACAGATAAACTTTTCTTATTACCTGATCTCTCTCTTTTTTTTCATAGACTCTGGCATCTTCTGGATTGCTCTAATCCTTTCACTGGAGGACATACTTGCAAGATTTCCAACTAACTCTTCCTCTGCATAAAACCCATGAGAAATCGAAATTTTGGGATAGTGATACAATAATTCTTATACAAAATCTGAAATGGATTTAACAATATTCCCCATTTTCACTGCTATCAAGGTGTGGCAAGTTCTGAGACTTAATGCTCTCCAGAACATCCTCAGCTCCATCAGTAATCTAACACAGATTAAGTGTACAATACTGGATGTTAAAAATTAAATATCAATTGTCTGATGCTTAATATTAATACAAAGAGCTGCAACATAAAGGAAAATAAAATGTAGACAAACTCCAAGATTCTGGTCTATTCCTTGGTCGCTGATTGTTACATTTCTATGATGCTACATATTGACCTGAAAGCTAAACTTTCACTTTATTTATTCTGTAATTTCAGTTGATGCTAGTGCCCAAACTTAGCACTACTAATGAAACAGAGAGAACTGTATTCTTGACAAACAGGCTGGTTTTTTATAGCTCAAGTTTGAAGCTAATTCCAGACAGTGGCTGAAAACAATCCATTAGCTGGTCAAACAAATTTCCATAAAGAGTTTAGCTTTTCTTCCTACAATTTAATACATATTCACACTACACTGTGCTTCATTTACCCTAGGATTTTAGTGTGCTAGTAGAGTATAAAAGATTAATCACTAGCATTAACACAAAACTAAGTTGTTCCCATAACCACAGAAAGACTGTACATGCAATTCTGGTGAGAAACCAAGAGTATTACCAACACCATCCTTGTGTTGCAAGATGCTATTTACTGTTAACCACTTATCTAAATTCCTACCTTCTTTGCATGCTGGATCTGTTTCAAACAGGTTGGAAGAAGTCATGAAGATCTCATTAGGTGGTCTTGTGTCGCGTCTCCGAATAAAGCTATCTAAATAACATGCACTATTTAGTAAGCCTAGATACTCCTGACAAATTGACATAAATTTAAATTTCACTTTCATGGAAATGACTTAAAAGTATACCCTTCAATCTCACTACCTACACTGAAACATAACCCTCCCCAGCTCAACTCCTTCCTGGTCATGCTCAGTGACCACAAGCAGTTTTTCAGATACACGTTGGAAAAGAGGCACTGAACCCAATCTTCAGCTATCATGGAAAACTTTGTGATCTAATGCATTCATAAATACACACATTCATTATTCAATATTTTCTTCCTATAAGACAGGTCTTTTCTTTAAAAGTTTTTCCACTGACTTCAGAGGGATTTAGAATCACACTCAATGATACCAAATCAATTAGATGTACCAAACTCCCATTTCCATGGAACCAAAATGCAACTGTTCTCTCAATCTTTTCATCCAATTATTCAGACACGAGTAACTATATTCCTTGTTGACTGTGTTGGAAATATACTCTCTCCTTTCTATCAGGTATTAAAAGCCACGCATGATCATTAATGTTTGGAAATGTACTATTTCTATAGTCACTCAACGAGTGAGGCATTCCCAGGTAGCAATAAAATCGCTTTTTGATCTGAATACAGGTTTTTGCAAAATCAGATCTTAACTTAAGACCATGTTCTTAAAGATGAGAAAGAGAAAAAACCAAGAGTCTCTCACTATGGGAGCACAGAGAGATGGTTCTTTCAATGCATCTAGGTAACAATTCCAGAAAAAAACCTCTTAACTACACTCCAGAAACAGAAGACAGGAACAAAACTGATTGTAACAGAAAAATCACACAATATGGGAAGAACAGTTACTACTCAGAACATAAGCAATAAATTAACAGTCACCGAAGGGCTCCAGAGCAGAGGATCACGCCGGGGGACCTTGCTGAAGTGACAAAAGCGGCTAAACCGAGGAAGAAAACGGAAGGGGGGGG